AGAATCCATTATTTTCAGCACTCCAATTGCTTCAGTGAGTCTATCTAACTCGTCCTGTGACTGTTTGAGTTTGTCCTTATTAGCACTTCTCACATCCTCAGGAACTTTTGTTTCATAATCTGCTACACTCATTGCTTTATTTAGTTTCTCTATAGTTTGAGATAATAGATCACTTTTTTTTTTCAACTTTTCCACTTCCTTAGATGTATCAATTAAGCCCTAGTTAATACATAAAATAAGATTTAGAATAATTTTTTATAGTACACTAGCTGTAAAATTACTAACCTTCAATAAAAGATGTACTTGACATTTATCAGATATAGGCAAGATAGCACATCCAATGGGTATAGAAGAAGCATTTGCAAGTTCCACTTTACTACAATTGGCAAAAGTAGCTATCTCTAATTTAAATTTAGTTACGGTACATAATGTACTTTCATCAGAACAATTAATATATGTCTCAGTTTTTGAACTTTTAGGAACATTATAATCTGATAAAGCTGATCTAATGCTGTGGACAATTTTCTGAATAATTTCAACTTCATTTTCAGTTTTTAAATCCCGCCAAGAATATTTCATCTAAGTAATAAATTTCAATATGTATAATTTATTGTTAATAGTAAATCAAATTACAATTTATTTGATTATGCTCACCGTTTCGGGATATAAAGCAACAGATATACTAGGATATCTAGTAATATCTGAGTGTGGCAATCTTTGGTAAAGTTCTTCAGTAATGAATGGCATAAATGGTGATAACAATCTCAATCCTGTGTCCAAACAGCAGAATAATATGTTTTGAACAGTTTKAATCTTATTTATATCATTAGATGCAAATACTGGTTTTAGTGATTCCTAAGATTGATATTCAAAATATTATTTCTATTTAAATTTAAATGTTATTTAAAATTACCAAGTACACATCACATAAATCATATAACCAAAAATTATAACATGCAGTTGTTGCACCATTGAGTTCATAGTTTTCAAATGARGTGTTACATGATTCTACAGCTAATGATAAGCGACTCAAAATCCATGTATCCATGTTGTTTAAGTTTACAATCTATTAAAAATTACCAATTAGATACATTTTACTTATGTTTGAACACACATTATTAATAATTAGGAATGATTATGTATASCAAAATATTTTAATGAATTACCTCTGATACTGGGGAAGGTACAAATTCTTTTTTGAAGTACATAAGTGCAAACTTTATGGCATTCCAAATTTTATTACAGAAAAAACGATAACCTTGTACACGGAGAATACTCAAATTTATATCATGTCCTGTAAATCAATAATATAGTTATATTGGGTTCATAAACATCTTATAACATAATATTATGAATCAATGATTGGCCTGTGATTGRTTCATAAGATTGATAAATTTTTTATGCAACYCTACAGCAAAGTTGTGATTTTGTAAATACTAAACATTAATATATACCTTGAGACATGTATGAACATAAAGCAAATCGTAATGCATCTGTTCCACATTCTGGGATTC